CATGTGGTATTTGACCTTCAGGCGTTATTTAACTTCATACAGGTGACTTATGTCACGTGGTATTTGACCTCCTAGACATGTTATTTTTACTTCCTACACATGTTATTTGACCTCTTAGACATGTTATTTGACCGCCTACATTTGGTATTTGACCTGTATCACGCGGTATTTTACCTCTGTCATTTGATATTTTTTTATTTCCTACACATGTTATTTGCCCTCTTACAGGTGGTATTTGACCACCTACGCGTGTTATTTGACCTCCAACAGGTGTTATTTAACCTACACATGTTATTTGACCTCCTACGCGTGATACTTGACGTCCTACGCTTGGTATTTGACCTCATATGTGTGGTGTATTTAACCTCCTACACATGTTATTTGACCTTCTTAAAATTTTATTTGACCTAGACATGTTATTTGACCTCCTACATGTGGTATTTGACCTCTGTCACGTGGTATTTGGCTTCTGTTACGTGGAATTTGACTTATGTCACGTGATATTTGACCTCCTAAGCACGTTATTTGACCTACACGCAGTATTTGACCTCTTTCATGTGTTAAAAGGTTCAAGATGGCCGAATGCTTCAAGACGATGTTCCAAGGACAAATGAAGCTACTTGATCTTGGACTTATCAACCAGGCTCAGGAGGTAAACCTACACTGCATCCATTTAATCTTAATCCTGGTTCTTGGATCCAAATCCTTGATCTTGGATCCTTGATCTTGGATCCTTGATCTTGGATCCTTGATCTTGGATCCTTGATCTTGGATCCTTGATCTTGGATCCTTGATCTTGAATCCTTGATCTTGGTTGGTGATGATGAGGAGAATACCCAGCAGGTAGGTGCTCTGCTGTTAGGTCAGTTCCGCAAGACAGATATATCGACCTTCTTTCTCCAGTCAGGTAAACTGCAGCTTGTGTGTAGATCTGCTCCATTTGATTCTCGAACAGTAACATCGTTGAGATCACCCTCGTTCAGGAGTACGGCGAGGGGTGGATCAGATCTGACTTATTCTAAGAGATAAATCAAGAGTTAAAATAATTAATTTCGGATGAACTTTAAAGTTCTAAGCCATTTAAGAATGTGTTTTCACCTGTTAATTGATTAGTTCATTGGTTTGGTCAGGGGTTGAAACAAAAGAAGAGTTTTGAATTCACTTTTATAGAACATACATGGGTTTAAAGAATATGAATCTAGAAATGATCTAAAGAATGTTTTATAAACCTAGTATTGCACAACCTGGAGCGATATGACTGAAAAGTGCAGTTATCCTAGCCCATTGTGGTCTGAAATATATAGATTTATAATGATTTTATAGTAAAAGGTTATTCCAGCTTTTTAATATTTGGACGATATAAAAGGCTATTTATACTTGAAGATACAAAACTTTTAAAGCTGGAGTTATAAAATTAAATTTACTTTAGTTTAGGTGTCACTTAAATTCTCAGTTTATTTTTAGAATACAATTGTATATATGTGGACTGTGGAGTAAGAAATAAGAGTAGGGAATAGAGAGAGAGAGAACAGATCTTTATGTGCTTCTTCAGATCAGGGTTTTCGGATTCAACCTGAACATCCAGAATTAAAAGATCCATAGAGCTTACACTTTCCCCTTGGATCCGGATCCTAATCTTATGAATTTATTCAATTTTTAAATAGTGTTATTTGAATTAATTTGAATTTCATTAATTTTGTTTAATAATTCAAGGTTTGTGATATGGTGAATAGAAGAGAAGAGTCAGAAGACAAGAAAAGTGGAAAGGTATAAAACCATAGATAAATAAATAAACATAGATAACTTATGTACGCAAAATCACCAAGAATTGTACAGTCCGCGAACTCATGCTTCTAGGGGTCAAAGTGTACTTCAATGATAAGCCGGGTGGTTTGGTGTTTTAATGGATTTCATAATAGAGTGTAAAATAACTCCGGGAATGGAACTATTTGAACAACAATATTTCACTGAGCAATCTATCATATTGACGAGAACTGAAGAAGGACATGAGAAGGACTAAACTAACTTAAATTTACAGAACTCATGTACACCACAAGTACTCAATGACATAAGATCAGCCAATGTTCACAACCGACCTAGTTAATCTATATAATAGGAATATCTTTAAAACATCTCTGTACATTTATATCTTTCAAGATGAAAAATGTCGTCTTATGCGCAATCTATCTTTATCTATGTATAAAACATAATCTTATTTATCATAACTCATAGTAAAAACTGTTTAGAGACCTGAGCTGAAAACTTTAGAAAAAGATATCCTTAATCCCGATTAATTAACCAGAGTATTCAATGGACACACTTTTGATTTTCTTATTAAGACGTTCTTTCTTAAAGTAGAGAGTCTCTCCCGTTTCTAAATATAATCTTAAATGGCGCGCAAAATTTAAAATTTATCTGATTGGTTGAATTTTAAACACTTTTCAGGATACAAGTACAAGATTAGGTTAGTCTCGATATTAAGAAAACGAGAGGATCAAGCATTAATCTCGATATCCACTATTCTAAAGTTTTCAGCTCTGTACAATTTTAAAATGAATTTCCAAGTTTTTTTATTTGAAATATCTATTATCTGTTTATAAACTTATCTTTTGTTTGATTTGTATCCAATATACGTCAAAACGGCTAAAACAAAGGGTCCAAATTTTTAACGGTAACTCAAATTACCCCAGAAAATCCTACATTTCTTTGTTGTTGAAAATTTGAGATTTATTAAAAAGGCGACATTTAAAACTTATTAGTAATTATAAAAATGTTGTTGTTCTACGGTCCTCTATTTGAAAAAAATAGCTTTGATCTTTGATTTAATTAGTCTATTCAAGTATTCGATTGATTTGATTGATTGATCCATTGATCCATTGATTGATTGATATATTTGTTTAGATGAACCAGGATGAGGAATCTTCCCTGGATATTAAACTGAAGGATTATATTGAAGAAGAACTTCGTAAACACGAGGAACTGAACACACAGTAGTAGTGCTGAGCTCTACACACTTTATATAAGAACTGAACACACAGTAGTAGTGCTGAGCTCTACACACTTTATATAAGAACTAAACACACTGTTTATTTCTAGGAACTAACACACTTTATATAAGAACTGAACACGCTTTTATAAGAATTGAACACACTTAAAATACGAATTGAACATACTTAAAATACGAATTTTTACACACTATATAAGAAATAAACCCACTTTATATAAGAACTAAACCCTCTTTTATAAGAACTGACCAACACACGCATAAAGAATTGAACAAACTATATTTAAGAACTAAACACACATATTAGAACTAACATATTTCTAGGAACTAACACACTTTATATAAGAACTGAACACACTTTTATAAGAATTGAACACACTTAAAATACGAATTGAACATACTTAAAATACGAATTTAACACACTTTATATAAGAACAAAACCCACTTTATATAAGAACTAAACACACTGTTTATTTCTAGGAACTAACACACTTTATATAAGAACTGAACACACTTTTATAAGAATTGAACACACTTAAGAACTAAACACACGGTGTAAGAACTAAACACACTTTTTATTGGCACTAACACACTTCTTTAAGAACTAAACACACGGTGTAAGAACTAAACACACTTTATATAGGCACTGACACACTTCTTTAAGAACTAAACACACGGTAAGAACTGAACACACTTTACATAAGAATGGATCACACGTCATGAGAACCCAAAACGCTTAATAAGAACATTACACTGATTTAAAATAAATGAAAACATTTTTATGAGAATTGAATAAACTATTATGAAACGAATTTTTGTGTAAATCTCAGGCTTAAACTGTTGAACTGGATAGCGCTTAGCTGCACAAACTGAACTTAATATCCTTATTCAAAACTTTTGAATTGAAGGACTCATGGGACAAACAGGAATCCACCAAAAGATGAAAAGGAAATGTCTCTATGAAAGGAATGATTGTGTTCCATGACTTAAAATCTGGTTTGAACAGATTAAACAAGTTTTGACCTGTGTGTGTTCGGTGTTCAGGTTAAGCACAAGATGAAGTTAGGACTGTTCAAAGGAGAAGTCGGGAATAGGACAGTCGAAACTTTAAGGTATTTTGTCTCTGGGCAGTGTCGAGGACCACCCCCCCCCCCTTCCAATGCCCTTTAGAAAAATATTGAAATTTTAACATTAACCGGGCAATTATTTTCGCCCTTTTTTCTTTATTCAGTGAATTAAACATTAAAATAGGACATATCTATTACCTAATATTTGGGAAAAACAAAGATTTTATATGAGGGAAGGGTAGGGGGGGGGGGGTATTTTGAAGAAAATTTATACTACTTTGCCCTATTAGCCCTTTATTTCAAGTAAAAAATTAAAAATTTTATCTTTGCCTGCATCACGAGTTGTGTTGCTTCATACATTTTGAAACAAGAATACTAAAAGTGTCGGATATTATCCAGTTTTCGAAAATGTTATCATAAGATTTTGAAACAAGAATACTAAAAGTGTCGGACATTATCCAGTTTTTGAAAATGTTATCATAAGATTTTGAAACAAGAATACTAAAAGTGTCGGATATTATCCCGTTTTTGAAAATGTTATCATAAGATTTTGAAACAAGAATACTAAAGTGTCGGATATTATCCAGTTTTTGAAAATGTTATCATAAGATTTTGAAACAAGAATACTAAAGTGTCGGATATTATCCAGTTTTTGAAAATGTTATCATAAGATTTTGAAACAAGAATACTAAAAGTGTAGGATATTATCCCGTTTTTGAAAATGTTATCATAAGATTTTTAAGGATATTTGAAAGTTGGTTTAATTCTAATTTGTAAACTAAATTCTATTATTTCTTGTTTTTGCTTTTTGGTAAAAATGAATTATTTTTTGTCTTAAAAAAATTTGAAATATTTGAGAAAAATTAATATTTTTTAAATTTGTTCAGGAAAGAGTATGTGAAGAAGATGTGGGAGAGAGGAAAGGATCCAACATGTGGCAGGTTTACACTGGAAAATATTAATAAAGGGAGTGTTCATGATTTTGTTCTTAATCCGAAATAAAAACTCAGTATTTGGAATAAACCTAGTAGGAACGGATAAAAAAGATTGTCTGCCAATAGATTGAGCATGATAAAGAAAAACAACTATATGTCAATGTTAAATCCAAATTTCAAATAAAAACACATTTTTTAAATGAACCTTTTCATTTGTATCAAGATTTCTGCTTCAAAAATAATATTTATTAAATATTTATTTTATGAAAAGTTTTCTTTAACCCTATCACGATGGTTAATCAGAAAATGGTTAATAACTTGTTTATTAATTAAGCTACAGGACTAAGACTTATTTATATATGTTAAAAGGCCTTAAAAATGGATATAAATGTGTTATATGTTAATATTTGTCAAAGAAAAAAAAACTACTTTCGAAAAATTTTTCGACATATTTTTTGAACTTTTTAATTTTCCTCCCTTACACCCTAACTATCAAGGTTAGAGGCCTAATTTTTGTTTTAATGAGCAGGCCTTGAAAAATTGGACAAGGGATATGTATCACATTCCTCTATCTCAACTCTAAAATCATAGGGGGGGGGATGGAAAACACCCCCCTCCATCTAAATTAGACAAAAATAGCACAATCGGGATAGGGTTAACAAAATGTGTAGTAATGTATCCTGCCAGAAAGGGTTTCTGTTTGTCGCAAAGCGTTTTGTTGCAGGAAACCCTTTTGGGAGGGAATCGTTTTGCAATGCTCCAATGAATAAAACCTTTCTTATTAAGGTGTGGTGCAACGACGCGCAAGATCCTGCGTCAGAAAACCGGATTCGTCTACGAAGGACTAAAGCGGGACGAGTACATGGAGAACGTTGACGAATTTGACGAGTTCCGTACGCAATCCAAGCGTCAGTCCCGGGGGGAGCAGAGGGCGGAGAGGATTGAGATTAATCCTCAGGAACTACTAGATCATTTTAGGGTTCTCTATTTACACGATAAAGAAATGCTAGGTAAGGGAAATAACAAATATAAAGCTGTACAACTGTACAACTGAAAAATGTACAGTTGCACTGTACAATGTACAACTGTCAAACTGCTGGACCATTTTAGGGTTCTCTATATACACGATAAACAGATATGCTAGGTAGGGGAAATAAAAAGATATACATCTGCAGCTACAAAAGTGCATAACGTACAGCAGCTGTACAGCTGGACAGCTGGATAACTGTACAACTGTAAAACTGTACAACTGTACAACTGTACAGCTGTACAACTGTACAACTGTACAACTGTACATCTGTACAACTGTACAACTGTACAGCTGTTCACCTGTTCTCCTGTACAACTGTACAACTTTACAACTGAACAACTGTACGACTGTACGACTGCACAAATGTAACATTGTACAACTGTATTGCTCTATAACTATCCTACTATACGACTGTAAAAATGTACAACCGAACAATATTTCAACCTTTTATGAACAATTAGATGGAACAAACTTAAACAAAGAAACTTCAACAATTAAAAAAACACTTTTTTAACTGTACAATTGTATAACTTTGTGTATTTAGCATGCACAATTATACTCTATAACGAATTTTGATACAAGAATCAAAGTTTATTCCTGAACCTCACGAATTTTTAACTTTTGTACATTTTAGCGTTCTGTTAATGTTTAAAAAGTCTATTATTGTAACAAATGTGAAGGCGCATACACGTAACCTTTAGTATAAGATATTACTGAGGGTGGTGTAATTGCCTAATATTATATTAGTTTTATCAGAACCCAGGGTCTATATATAGACTCAGGGCTTAAGCAATTACTTACAAAATATTTAAGCATGAGTAGATATATTTTTATGAATTAATATGAAGTATTTTAATTAATACTAATTTTTGTTGGTATACAAAATCGAATTGACGATTGCTTGGTGGGACTGACTGATTGATGTATTGATTAATTGATCGATATTTAGATAACCTGTTCCCTGTATTCACTCAGACAAAGTTAAAGACGCCTACAGATCTTCTTTTTATCCAGGTTTTTATCAATCTTTTTCTTGCTTAAAAATTATATTTGGTATTTGTTTGGTCTTATTGACTCTTGATCTTGTTCTTGTTTCTTTGCTTCTCTTATCTTGGACAAGATAAGACCAATGGTCGCGTGGATTTAGTGTCTCTTAACCGTAATCGTGTGGTCGTCTGGCTCTTTATAACCTTTGTTCTTTATAACCTTTGTTCTNGCTACAGCTACAGCTACAGCTACAGCTACAGCTACAGCTACAGCTACAGCTACAGCTACAGCTACAGCTACAGGTTCATTGTTCAGGTATAGGTACAGGTACAGGGACAGGTACAGGTATACCAGGTACAGGTACGGGTACAGGTACAGGTACAGGTTTACTGTACAGGTATAGGTACAGGTATAGGTACTGGTATAGGTACAGGTACAGGGACAGGGACAGGTATACCAGGTAGAGGTACAGGTACAGGTATACCAGATACAGGTACACGTACACGCTTGCACGTCCAGGGTACAGGTGTCTTATATTTGGTCCAATTTTAAGATTTAAATAAATTATGAAATCTTGTAATCAGTTTATTTGATAAAGTGTGTAAACATTTTCTTTTTTCTATTTTTTGTTGATGTTTGACGATTTTAACCTAACTAATCCTTCAGGGCACTCCCATAGAGAGTTTTAGTACTGAGGTTATAGAGATGCTTAAGAGTCTTAGAGGTGATACTCCAGCTAGTCAGCTAGGTAAATATATTTACATTCATTCATTCATCATTCCTTTCATTAATTCATGCATTCATCCTTTCATTTTCATTCGTTTATTCATTTATTCATCCTTTAGATTTGATACTACAGGTACTCTTGTTAGTCATCTTATTTATTTGTAAATTAGGATTAAAGTTTTTTTTTCTTAATGGAAAATATTTAAATTTGACCACAACAAATTAAATCACACATTAATTAATTAATTTATTGAAAATAAATCAATTAAAATGTATTTAGATAATGTTTGGAAGGAGTTACAACTGTCAGTTGATCATGTTCTCGACAAGAATTTAAATTCAGCCAAATCTGGAGCATCGGTAAGAATTAAAAAAAAAAATTGTTTTGTGTACAGGGAGGGATACACACAAAGGATGAAGAAATTTTTAAATTGTATTAATAAGGTTAAATGTTGGATGTGCATCAGCCTTGCCACTGGGCTGCTATACACTATACAGTATTAATGAATTATTTTTATTGCAAAGTTTTTTATTTAGTTTTAAAGCTAAATATGTTTGTAAATTAACACGTTTTACTTTTATTCTATTCTATTTTAAAGCTTGGTAACAAACCACCACTACTTTAGAATGATCATTTTAGGTACTTTTACCTGACGTTCACATAATGAGTTTTGGGGGGATATTTCTTGCCTGGTTCTTTGGATCCATAATTTACCAGATTCTTAATTCAATATAGAACTTGGATGTATGTGTATTGCAGTAACCCGTCAATAGGCTGATGATGAAGGATTCTTCTAAGGCCAGCTACGAAAGTAGAACCTAACCATTTCAAAATTTTTAAAAAAATTGCTTTGTGTACAGGGATACACACAAAGGATGATGACATAATGAGAATGTAAGGATGACGATTTGAAACTCTAAAATATGATAAAATAAAAATACAATTTGGAATTTAGTCACTAATTTAAATGATAGAAACAAGTGGTCAGCTACAGGGTTAGAGAAATCTAAGAAAAAAGACTAAATTAATTCCGTTCAGTCGTCTCTGACGTCTTATCCATTGTGGGTATCCCAGTATTTAATATTTATAACTAAACACAAACTATGGTTTTTTTTAACAAGACACAATACACTTAGTTACGATTTAGGGCCTATGTAGTACGGAAATACACACATTTTGTACTGCAGCTTGTGTGGGGAAAGCTATGAAAGCTTGGATTTTTTAATAATTTTGTCACTTGAATTTAAGTCATCTTGAAATAAGTTCATTGTACACAGAATTTGACAAAATTCATGAATTATCTTGCTCTGTCGAGTCGTGCTCTATAAATCTACAAATTACGCTTAGAAAATCCACGAATACATTTTTTAGATGGAAAAACAATTCAATTAAACATTTTAATGGTGACATCCTTTGAATAGAGTTTCACTTCAAATATTGTAAATAATCTCTTTAATCTTTTTTTTTAAGGTGAACGGCTGGGGATTAAAGCAGTTGATTGAGAGAAAACAGGGAATCTTCAGAATGAATATGATGGGGAAGAGAGTTAATTTCGCTTGCAGGAATACTCATACTTCTTGATCTTGTTCTTGTTCTTGTTCTTGTTCAATTTATGAAAGATTCCGCATAAGCCAATAAGGGCATTCATGAACAACCTCGAAGACTTAGTTCTTTCTTGTTCTTGTATCATTATTATCATCATTCTTCAATTCTAAAAGTATCTGTAATATCTGCAGAACTGTTATAACTCCTGATCCTAATATAAACATTGACGAGATCGGAGTCCCGGAAATATTCGCCAAGAGGCTCAGGTAAAAATAATGAATTGCTTAATAATAACTGTTCTGATTCCTATGTCTTTGCAACCTTTGATATTTTATAAGAGACTAGCTCCCGGCCACCCATGAGTGTCCACAAAAAATTTCAAACCAATCAGTCCAGCCGTTTGGCCGGCTATAGGCAACATATATATTTATTAACGAATGTCTTGTTTTATTATATAAATTGCATAATTCAAAGTATGAAACTTTAAAGGTCTACGACATCAGGTTGCAAATATATAAGAATTAAAAAATTGGTTCAGTTCCTTGTGTAATATTAAGTATTATATCATATCTGTTCGGTTCCATAGTAGTAAACCTATCGTTTAAGAATTCCCATTATTAAACGGTTCAGGAGGAACAATTTTAATATTGTTCGCTTCCTTGCGTTTAAGAATGCTTATTCTTACACTGTATGTGTAGAATTTTCATTCTTTAACGCTCAGACCGTGTAAGAATGGAAATTATTACACGGTCAGAGCGTGAAAGAATGTATATTCTTNTAATGGAATTCTTAAACTCGATGAAATAATCTTGATGCATTCTTTAACTCAGGCCTGCGGCCTTCGTTAAAGAATACATCAAGATTATTTCATCTCGTTAAAGAATTTCCATTATTACATTTTTTTCCTCATAAGATTATCATATTATCTTGAGAATCCAGCTTTCCCTGGAGATCTGAAAAACATTCCCGGTGTTTTAACAATTTACCCAATCTAATTTTGAGGCAAATCGATCCAAGGGTTTATGAGTTATGATTGGACATACGAATAGGCAAACAGAGGTTACTACTTTGTAAAGCTGATAGACAACTAGCTTGGGAGCCCAGCTTTGCCGGGAAGCTAAACTTTCGTGTTTTAAGTACATTCCCTTGGTTATACCAAGTTCTTTATCAAAATTCTTGGCAATTAGGTTTAAGTGTTCATGTCTTTTGATCAGACATTAAAACAAACTAAGAGACAAAAGAGATTACTACTTTATTTTATGTAGTTACCCTGTTCCTAACAAACTATAAACAATAAAAAATTTACTTCTCAATATAGATCTAAATTTCCAGTGTAGGTTGTATATTAAAGATTTTTAATTCAAAATGATCACTATCCTAAACCAATAATAAGCTTATGTTACGGTTTAATTACCAACTATCAAAGTTTTTGATATCCATTAAGGAGGTCACCCATCATTTGTCTTTAACACTATACATGTATGGCAAATTTACAAATGATAGGTTCCGTAAAATGGAGGCATGGCTCAAATTTGGTCGGCTGCTGGGATCTAATCGAGTTTTAATGTTTTCAAGTCGGGCAAGCGTAATAGGAACACAAACTTTATATAGATCCAGGCTGAAAAACCTAAGTACACAGTGAATTGAAACCTCACCCTGTATACGGGAGCCCAAAGCAATCCCTGAACATGATGATTTGATACTACTTTATTTTATGTAGTTACCCTGTTCCTAACAAACTAAGAGACAAAGAAGATTACTACTTTATTTTATGTAGTTACCCTGTTCCTGTGACTCCTTGGAACTTCAAGGAACTACAACAAATGGTCTTAAATGGTCCAGATAATCATCCAGGTAGATAGTTTAGTTTAATGGTAGATTGTTTACAGGTAGACAGTATGTTGGTAGATAGTTTGATAGTTGATAGTTTGATGGTAGATAGTTTCCTGGTAGATAGTTTGATGGTAGATAGTTTGATGGTAGATAGTTTAATGGTAGATAGGTCTAATGGTAGATAGTTTAATGGTAGATAGTTTCCAGGTAGATAGTTTCCAAATTGATAGTTTACAGGTATATAGTTGGTTGATAGTTTTCTGGTGGATAGTTTTCAGGTGGAGAGTTTCCAGCTAGAAAGTTTCCTAGTAGATAGTTTCCATGTAGATAGATTTGAGGTAGATAGTTTAATGGTAGATAGTTTCCTGGTAGATAGTTTAATGGTAGATAGTTTCCAGGTTGGCAAGTAGATCCTGCTTTCTATTAATTGTGGGGTTTCCTAGAAAGATTATTAAACAATTTTAAATTGTCATTTTTCCTGCATGCCGTTTTCTTTTCTTTTTTAAAATCTTTTTATATTTTTAGGTGCCCTATTGGTGGAAGATGAGTTTGGTAAACCTATAAACCTAGAAATGAAGGATCCTAGTCAACGGTGATATATTGTTTATTTATCTTAACAACCATTACCAAGTGTATGTAAGGAGGTGTGCAAGATCATAATTTTTTCTTGTTAAAGTTGCTTTTTTGGCTTTTAAAAAAGGGACAGTCTGCTGTAATTTTAAGAGACCCTTTATTTAAAGAAGACTATGCACAGTTCGCAACGGTACCCTAAAAACTTGGTCTGATCAACAATGTTACTATATAAAATTTCAAAGAGAAAAGCATGGATATCTTCATTCATTCTTGATCGGACAAAGGTTGAAAGGATGCTGTTGTGAATTAGACATGCTTGAAATAATTCAGTCCCTTAAATATGTCTTCCCAGGTTAATGATTGCCAACACCTTGATGACCCCGACCTACAGCAACAAGAAGTCAGATCGACCAAAGGAATCACACTTGTTTACCATAATTTGTATTTTTCAACACAATTTGTTATTTTTCATCATAATTTGTATTTTTCAACACAATTTTTATTTTTCATCATAATTTGTATTTTTCATCATAATTTGAATTTTTCATCAAAATTTAAATTTTTCATCATAATTAGAATTTTTCCTCATAATTTGAATTTTTCATCATAATTTGAATTTTTCATTATAATTTGTATTTTCAACATAATTTGTATTTTTCAAAATAATTTGAATTTTTCATCATAATTTGAATTTTTCAACACAATCTGTATTTTCCATCATAATTTTAAGTTTTCAACACAATTTGTATTTTTCATCATATTTAAAATTTGTTAAAGAACTTTTTCAAAATGGTGTACAAGTGTGGTTGCCGCGTTAGATTGTTCACCGTCACTTGCGCAACGGAGACGCCATGTTGCTTAATCGTCAGCCTACTCTGCATAAGCCCAGTATTATGGCTCATAAGGTATTTTTAACCCCAAAAATAGCATCTGTAATATTCAATATATTTAATATTTTTAAGTACACGGCTTCAGTTTTCATTAATAATGATGATATTTAATCCAGACCACCCACAAATAACCCAATGGAATCAATTGGGACTTTTCTAAGAATATTGGATTCAAACAAAGTAGAAATGAACATTGAATGAACAGGGCACTTTTCCTAACTGATACTAACTTTAATACCTTTCTGTCTAATGACCATCCTATAAACTATCTAGGCAAGGGTACTGAGAGGAGAGAAGGTTATGAGACTGCATTACTCCAATTGTAAATCCTACAATGCGGATTTTGATGGTGACGAGATGAATGCTCATTTTCCCCAGTCAGAAACTGCCAGGTCAGTCATCTATTCAAGTGCTCCGAATCCGGATCCAAATCTGTGTACAGTCATAACCAGAAAGACCCCGAATTAATTGACAGTTAATCAGACGACTTTACATATATATCTCTGGTAATTTTGAACGCACAATAAGGCATACCACATTTTGGAATTATTAGGAATAGGGGTATTTTTGAATCATCGTATCATTAATCATATTTGTAAAATTAGATTTTAAAGTCCTCTGATAATTTGTAAATTAATTCCGGGTGTAGTTATTTTATTTATCATTTAATGATAAGGAAGGTTTTGATTTCATCACACTAGTTTGCACTTAAACTGTGTTTTGTAAGAGCATACGTTTTTTCCATTGCTAAGGATCCCACCCCGTTTCCGCAACATTTTGGCTTTCTGGATCCAGATCAAAAATATGCCTATCCACAGATCCGGATCAAAGCCGCAAAATATGAACCAAAACCTGTTTTAAAAAAAAAAAATATTTCTGCCCATAAAGCATAAATTTCACCTGTTGAAAAATGAGAGATAATTAGAAAAATCTTCATTTCTGAATGTTTTATCAAGTTTCATTAAGGAAAAAACAAAGAAAGGAAAAAAAATATTTAGTAAATGTTTCATTGGTTCAAAGATCAACAATCATGGCCTGGATTCAAATCTGAAATTTGATTTTTTTTTTTCAAAATTTAAGTGATCATTTTTTTGGTGGATATTCTGAAATGTTTTTGTCAGTTATTTTTTTTTAATTCCTTCAGTCTTTTATTTCTTAAATAAATTTTTTGTTAAGTATAGATTTTGCGATAGATTCATTTATTTTGTAGGAGTGAAGCATACAATATAGCACTGTCAAGTCATCAATACCTGGGTCCTAAAGATGGTACCCCTCTACAGGGTCTTATTCAGGAATACAAGTCATTTTTTAAATTCTGGTTTGATCTTTTATGACCTCTACTCTGGCATCAAGCAGTAAGAGCATTTAAAACAACAGTCATTGAAGTTTGAAGTAAGATTTAAATAAGAATCTGTTTTTTAATTTGTTTTGAATGACTTATAATCTAGGACCATGTTATCGGAGCAGTGAAAATGACCCTGAGAGGTCGTTTCTTTTCCAGACCTGAGTACATGCAGCTTGTGTTTCAAGCCCTACAGGGCATCCCAGGCAGAATAAAGATTCAGGCCCCCACCATTTTGAAACCAAAACAGCTGTGGTCGGGAAAGCAGGTTATTTCAACAATCTTGATAAATCTGGTACCTGCTGGGAAGTTCCCGCCAAATTTTACCTCAACAGCTAAAATCAGTCCTAAACTCTGGCAATCCCAACCTGAACGAGCCTGGAAAGCTGGTGGAACTCCCCTCAAGAAGATGATTGATATGTCAGAATCTGAGTTTATAGTACGAGATGGTATACTTTGTGTTGGAATCTTGGACAAAAACCAGTTTGGTGCCACGCCCTACTCACTGGCCCACCTCCTCTTTGAGCTGTATGGGGGAATAGTCTGCACCAGCTTCCTGTCAGGACTCTCAAAACTCTTCACCTACTTCCTTCAGGGCATAGAGGGGTTCTCACTAGGAGTTCAGGATATTCTTGTGACAGAAACTGCAAATGATGTTAGAACTGCAGTAATGGCGGACACCAGACAAGTCGGGGATTCATGTGCTGCACAGGGTGTAGGTGCTAAGGGCGAGGTTGATATTGACGAGCTAAGATTTATGATGGAAGAAACACACAGGGCTAGTGCTGACAATCCAAGATTCCGTATGGAACTTGACAGGGGATACAAGGAGAAGCTGAACCCTGCCACTAACAGGATCAATGCCGTTTGTGTCCCCGCAGGACTTATCAAACCATTCCCTCATAATAATCTTCAGCTCATGGTCAACTCAGGGGCTAAAGGTAGTACAGTAAACACAACCCAGATTTCTTGTCTCCTGGGTCAGATTGAGTTGGAGGGGAAAAGGCCACCAATTATGATAAGTGGAAAATCCCTTCCTTCCTTCCGGCCATACGATACTCAGCCTCGGGCCGGGGGCTTTATTGATGGACGATTTATGACAGGAATCCAGCCCCCTGAATTCTTCTTCCATTGTATGGCAGGAAGAGAAGGTTTGATTGATACTGCAGTAAAGACTAGCAGATCAGGGTATCTTCAGCGTTGTCTTATAAAGTTGCTAGAAGGTTTAACTGTACATCAAGATTATACTGTCAGGGACTCTGATAACTCTGTGATACAGTTTCAGTATGGAGAGGACTCATTGGATGTTTGTAAATCCCAGTATATCAAACCTAGTCGTCTCAAGGATCTCTCAAACAACATCAACTCTGTTATGAACAAGGAGAGGGAAAAAAGAGCAAAGGAAATGAGTGATATGAAGGGGATAAAGAAGGAGAAGAAGAAACTGAAGGAGTGGAGGAAGTATGGAGGTGGGGAGAGGAAAAGAACTGGAGCTTTCCTGAAATTCTCACAGTGCAGTGATACTATAAAGAAGCAGTTCAAAGGATATGAGAAGATTAAGGTAGGTAAGGAGGACCCTATATTTGTATCCAGAGCTAAGTCATATCTCCCAACATTGTCTGAGTATAGGAACCTCAATGATAGCATCATAGCTGACTTGAAGGAGAGCCAAGGTCCTTCAATGCCTCCCCTATCCTCCACTTTCTTGCCTCCAGTACACTTCTCAGCCATCACAGAGGCCTGTGATGCTATGATTAGTGAGTATATTAAGCAAAACAAGGATACTGTAGACTGTCATAACTTCAAGGACACCATGTACTTAAAGATTCAGGAATCCTGTGTTGCTGCTGGGGAACCAGTTGGTGTTTTAGCTGCACAGTCAGTTGGTGAGCCCAGTACTCAGATGACACTAAATACTTTCCATTTTGCTGGTCGGGGAGAGATGAATGTTACCCTGGGAATTCCTCGTCTTAGGGAGATTTTAATGGTAGCGTCAGACAATATTAAGACCCCAAGCCTGACAATTCCATTCAAACAGGGGATCACAGAGAAGGAGATGGATAAGTTCAGGTTGAAGTTCAACAAGGTTGTTGTGGAGAATTTACTGGAGGAGGTTCAGGTTACAGAAAAGATTGTGCTCAGTCCGGCACGACTCCGTAAAGTGGTTCTCCGGTTTAAGTTCCTGCCTTACAAGTACTATAAACAGGATTATGGGGTTACACAGCACCAGGTTCTACAGTATATGGAGAACAAATTCTTTCACAAGGTGTTCTTTCCTGTGATGGTTGCTGTGAGTAAGGAGAAGAAGGTGGGTGTAGATGTTGGACAGGATATGGATCTTAAGATAGATCGTGGAGGTGGAGTTGGAGGGGATCGTGATGAAGATGAAGGGGAGGGTGGGGATGTTACAAAGGAGAGAAGGAATGAGGAGACTGCTGATAAAGCTATGGGAGATGTTGATAGCAGTGACGATGAACAGGAGGATATGGAGGGGGAGGGAACAGATGTGACCAGGAAGGTGGAGAGGCAGGGGGACAGGGAGTATGAGGAACTGGAGGAGGTCGAGATCAAGATCAAGGATGAACTTGTTAAACAGGAGGTAATTTAGAAATTTAGCACACTGTGTTAGAAATTAAGAAAATTGTGTAAGAAATCAGGAATACTGCGTTTTATGAAGAATACTGTGTCAATAATACAGAATACTGTGTTTTATAAGGAATACTGTTTTAAAAATATAGAATACTTTGTTAGACGCATGAATATTGAATATTGTGGTAAAAATTAAAATTATATATCACTGTGTTAGAAATATAGAAAAATCTGTTAGAAATGTAGAACACTGTTTTATATTGAATGCTGTGTTTTATATTGAATGCTGTGTTTTATATTGAATACTGGAGATAGGATGATGAGTATAATGAAGATAAGGATGATATTAAAACTGAATCCTCCTTGTATATTGTATTATTAATGTTATATCTGTGTAGGATGATAAGTATAATGAAGATAAGGATCATATTAAAACTGAATCCTATCCTGTATATTGTATTGTTAATGTTATATCTGTGTAGGATGATGAGTATAATGAAGATAAGTATGATATTAAAACTGAATCCTCTCCTGTATATTGTATTATTAATGTTATATCTGTGTAGGATGATAAGTATAATGAAGATAAGGATCATATTAAAACTGAATCCTATCCTGTATATTGTATTGTTAATGTAATATTGTGTAGGATGATGAGTATAATGATGATAAGGATGATGTTAAAAATGAATCCTCACCTGTATCCGAAGATGAAAATTATGAATCAGAGGAAGAGGAGGATGAAGGTAAAATATTTGTCACTAAAATCCTATTTTTTTAACGTTCTTGCTGGATAACCTGCTTTCGGATCTAATATCCAGCAAATGATTTCTTTTGTAAAAGATTTCAAGCTTTTGTTTAGTAGATTGAGACAATCCACTACTACTCTCTACCTTCTCTCCATCTAAAAATCTCGGGCACATTCAACATGCTAAATTTAAATAAAGCATAAATTTAAAAAAAAACTAGCAAATGCATAATAAATTAGAAAACAAACAAACTAACCAAGGAAACAATCACACCACATGCATTATTTACAAATAAAGAACCAATTTTTACTTATTAAAAGTGTTTTTAACATTTTACCCTTGTAACATTAGAAAAATAAAAAAGTGATAGTCAGGAAAAGAGCATAAGTAAAATATAAAAACTTTTTTTTGCAATCCTTCATGATGTCAATTATTCCAACTTGATATAGCTGTATTTCACACTAATTTTTAAAAATATAATTTTTATGGTATTTGCTCATGGAACCTCACAAATATTATATAATATTAATCTTACGAGGATAAAAATGTAAAAATGGAATACGTAAACTCGATGAAATTATCTTGATCATTTCATCTCGTTTAAGAATTTCCATTATTACATTTTTTCCTCATTAGATTATCATATTATCAATTATTTGAATCTCCAAGGAAACATTTATAATCTACTTGGTTAGGGATAAAATATAACCCCTTGTTGAAATTTTTTTTTAAGTGGTTGCCTTTTTAAGTTTTATACTTCACTAAACTTCATGATTCTGTGGAATCTATTCTAGTGCTAGAATTCTGACCTAAGAATATTTAGAAAGAAATGAGACAATACAAGACGAGCTGATGAGTAGTGGTGAGCCTAGGAAACGACGAGCTGAGTTCCTGGCTCAAATGGAGGTATTATTATTATTTTCACTACTATTATTATTATAATCATTATTATCATTGAAATCATTTTTCTTTTTGTTATTAAATCACTAGCTGAAGTGTCAGGTGTTGTCCGTGTAATTATGGAAACACTTAAAAAAATCTAATTTTGAAGAACAAAAAATTATTTTGAAAACAAAAACAAAATATATATTAGAGCGAAGAGCTTTATTATATAGATTATTTTATCATCTCTCATTGTTTTTCTTGTTATCTTTTTTTCGTTAATTGTTTTTATTACTATTATTGTTACTTTTATCATTTATATTGTCTATTAAAGGGTGTGTGTGGACTATGTGGTGTTACAGACTACTCCTATGATACTGAAAAGGAACGTTGGTGTGAAATTACTCTCAGGTCAGTTAGTTTAGTTAAACTTGTTCAAAATGACCCCACGTTCACGTATTAACTCCAGACGTGCGATGTTGTGACGGCATTGCTTTGTTCACTGGGTAAATGTTAAATGATCATTTTTTAGGTATTTTTTTTAGATTACGTTATTTCCCAGCATCTTTATTTAAATAAGAACTGGGAGTGAATGTATACTGTATAGTAGTATCCCGCCTACAATGATGAAGAAAATTTCTAAGGTGGATCTACTAATATAGTAATATACTTTTCAAAAGTTATGTACTAATTATACATTTTTATGCTGAATCTTAGAAGTTAGAACAATGGGATGATAAAAAAGTCATTTGTTGACGTTGGAGTGTCGTCTGCTCAACTCTAGGTTACGTTCATTTTGCGTTATGCCCCGTTTTGCGTTGTATTGTCTGTATGAGTACAGAGCTGGAAACTTTTAAATGGAATATCCTTAATCCCGATTCGTTGATTAATCTGGAGATTAATCACAAGAAGAGAACTTTTTAAATCTAGAGATTATGAAAAAGAGGAGATCAAGGATTAATCCGGATATCCACCATTCAAAAGTTTTCAGCTCTGTACAGTTTGCTCTAGCATGTTCCAAGTGGGCTTGGTACTTTAAATGAACAAGAATTTTCAGTGATGAATACTAAATCATATAACGAGGGGATGATGACAAGTTGTTCTTTGATGAACAGATCGATCGATAGATATAATAAGTGAAATAGGTCTGAGAACACTGCACCATTGCTGTGTTTGATGATTATTGGACTATTCAGAGTCTAACAGTCGTCTTCCTATCCCATAGATTTTTGTGTCCCCCTGTACTAATAATATTCGCTGAATTGTGTCCATTCCTGTTCTGTTTCTGTATCTAATATCGGCAGTTATTAATGCATTCTCTGTTTCAAATTATTGACACAAAATTCAATAGTTTCTCCTCGAATATATAATTAAAGGAAATTGACCAAGAAGAATAGGGCTGAATGAATGATAAAGATGAGCCCTCCCCCCCCCCACACACCTCAGATGTTAAAAATAAAATTGAGGAATGGTTTGATATTTGATTTTTTATCATTTATGGGATTGTATTCTGAACTACACACGGGCAGCTGTAGTACATTGAAATTTCCGGTCAACTTTTCCGTTCCCAGTTTGTACTGTATCGCCCGGACATTGGGTAAATTAAGCAGACACTCAATAGGACTGGCCGGTGCAACAAGGTTGACGCAGTCAGACTTTAGGTTGAATTTACTTTTACTGAAGGGTCAGAGGTGCGTGTACAGGTTGCCATATATATTTATGTGTTGATTGTTTGGAATTGCAAAAAAAGTTGGACAAAATTTGAGCTCTGAAATCCTCTAGTTTTGTATCAAGTTCTGTTCAGGGGTCGTCTACTTTACTTTATTCGTACCAACAAGGTTCGTTTATTTCTTGAAAAAAATTCTACGTACATGGCTGAAAATGAACCATCAGGATTCAAGTCAAAACACCGAATTTTTTCTTCGGAATATATTAATATGCAAGCTTCTAAGTTATAATTTAAATTTTCAGAAAAGGCCAACTAAGGAATTTTAAGTAAATCCATTTTAAAGAAGTTGTAGATATCAAGTGCATGCTTAAGTTTAAACTCAATCGTAACTGTAGGTTCAAAGATTAACCAAGATTATTCTGTGTTTTTTTGCGATATTTTTAGAACCGTTGATGGCAGGGTCCCCAAATTTTGTGAATTTTCCTTAACAGTCATTAGTCATGTTTTAGCAAAAGAAGACTTTTTGAAGTAAAATCAGTAAAAATTACATCAAAAAAAAATTTTTCGGGCCGCATTTTGACTGTCAGGGAGTTGACTTAGGGTTTTTTTTGCTACAATAAGTTTCATGACTGTTAAAGAAAAACAAAAAAAAGTTGGAGACCATGTCATATACTGTTAAAAAAATATCGTCAAAAACCCAGAAGAAGCAGAAAGTCTTGAAGTGAAATTTTTGATTAATTTCAGGGTGGCCAAAATGTACGGATTGACGGATTTTTTTATTTTCACTCATTTCAGCAAATTTTTCATGACAATTTAAAAAAAGTTCTCGTCAAAATTAGATTAGTTTAACTTTTTTTCTGCATTCTAAATAATATTAGATAGATTAATGTTTGAATTGACAATCAAAATTCATTCATCATTTTCGAGATTTTTGAGACGGAAGTGTTCATTTGAAAATATGTTCCAGAGTTCATTTGACCAGACCCAGTTTAGAATTTTAGTGTGGAAGACCCAGTTTAGAATATAGAATAAAGTGTGGCAGACCCAGTTAAGAATATTGAATTTAGTGTGGCAGACCCAATTAAGAATATAGTGTGGGAGACCCAGTTTAGAACATGGTTTTGCAGACCCAGTTTAGAATATGGTGTAACAGATCCAGTTTAGATTAAAGTGTAGCAGACCCAGTTTTTGTTTTCAAAAATTGTACGGATTGTACGGATTTTTTTTCGAAAATTGTACGGATTGTACGGATTTTTTCTAAAAATGTACGGATTTTTTTTCAAAAAAGTTTTGGCCACCTTGTAATTTAAGACCTGTGAATGCACTTAATTTCCACAATTTCTTAAAAATTGATTTGCTCAAAATTCCCTAGGTGGCATTTTCTGAAAATTCAGAATATAGCTCAGTAGACTGCATATAAACATAATCCAAAGAAAAAGTTTAGGTGTTTTGACTTTAAACCTGATGGTCTATTTTCAGCAGTGTGTACGTCAAGAATTTATAATTTTTTTTTAGTTTTGATATTTCCCAGAAGAGGATTGATATGCCAAACATACTCAGGAAATCCGCTGAGAAAGGTAGATCTCATACAGTGGTCGCGTTTATATCAATACAATGAAGACGACTTTTCTCTTCAAATTTTGGTTTCTAACATGATTTTATTTCAAATTACAAGTTTACAAGTTTACAAAGAGAAGCTGTTAATTCACATGCTTCTTATTGTTTTCATGTTTTTGTGTATCCGTGCTGTTTGAAAGTTTGTTAAAAATAAAAAATGTAAATCGAAAGTCGTCTTCATGGTATTGATATTTACGACGACGACTATATTAAACGAGATAAAACTAAATATACGCTACAAACTTGAAATTAAAAACTTCAAACTTCAAACTTCAAACTTCAAACTTCAAACTTCAAACTTCAAACTTCAAACTGCAAACTGCAAACTGCAAACTTCAAACTTCAAACTTCAAACTGCAAACTTCAAACTTCAAACTTCAACTTTGAATATTTATCTGGAAATTTCAAGTTAAACCTTCATTCAGAGTTTGAAGCTTGATTTACGACGATAATCTCAAAAATGGGGAAATTATCTTAGGGTTTTCTGGCTGGAAAGCGTTAAATTCTAACAATTTTATTCTGAATTGATACGGTACTGATGGGTAATTGTTTTAGTTGTTGGGTCCCTATAGCTTGCGTGAAAAGAAAAAGAAAAATAGTTTTCACAAAAATATCGGAAGCAAATACAACTTTTTCAGATCAATATCGAATTTGAATTGGATTTATACATACTTTTTCCCGAACTCTCCCTTTAATTGAAGATCTATTTGGATAAATGTTGACAGTCCCTTTAACACTTCATGGCTGTTGTTCAGGTTTAATCTACCAAGTGAAGAACATGAAGAAAGGATTTGTTATGGAGAAGGATGGACGGTATATGATCCAGGTAGGATTAGGCATACACTTGATTGTCACGTGATACATACACTTGATTGTCACGTGATACATACACGTGATTTTCACGTAATACATACAAAGCTCATTTGATCTAGAAATAGCCATTGAAATAAGACAAGTACACAAACTTTTCATAAAATTACCTATAACACTATTATTTTGACACGACGTGTTATAACGTTTTTGGACTTAAATTGTCTCCTATATCACGAAGGTTCTCTCCTTTTTAGATTATATTTTAATCTCTAATGTCTAAAAACTTAAAATCACTGTGAATCAAAATAACAGTGTTATTAATAGTTAATTTTGGTTCTGGTTTTTCAATTAATATTAAAAATGAAATTAATTTTTTAAAAATGCGCTAAAATATTTTTATATTTTCAGACTGACGGAATCAATATAGATGTCATGCTTCATTACGATAAAATCCTTGATCTTAATAATTTGATGTGTAATAATATTCACGATATGGCTAGGTAGGCATTTATTTTATTTATTCAATTCATTCAATTTATTTATTACAGTACAGTACAGGGTGCCGGATTGACCGGGTGTTGGAAACAGATGGCAGTCTGGGATTCCACGTTGGGGATCTATCTCTGTACAGTACACTACACTACACTACACTACACTACACTATGCACACTGCACACTGCACACTGCACACTGCACACTGCACACTGCACACTGCACACTGCACACTGCACACTGCACACTGCACACTACACACTACACACTACACTACAGATAAATGGACTGGTTCAGGCGACTTTTTGTCACTACTGTGCAGTTTGGTGATTGACCTAGCCCTCGCCATGTTGGTACTAGACTTGGTCATTTATCAGCTGGAAATTAATTTCCGTCCTTTGGCGATTATATGAAGAGGGCTCGGCCTAGATTTCCACGGAGTTAAATTAAAGTTGATTGTTTATTTATTATATATCCTAGGTACTATGGTATTGAGGCCGCCTATAAGACTATTGTACGTGAGGTGACTAACGTGTTCGGAGTCTATGGTATTGAAGTTGATTACAGGTGAGAGTACAGTACAGTTCAGTACAGTACAGTTCAGTTCAGTTCAGTTCAGTTCAGTACAGTACAGTACAGTACAGTACAGTACAGTACAGTACAGTACAGTACAGTACAGTACAGGTACAGTAGAGAAGGCTACAATATCGATGTTTTATGATTTACTAATAAACTGTTTTTAAGAGCTGTAAAATGGTCTTAATTCATGATTCTGAACTTGAGTTTAAACTTTATGAATATAAAAATGACTTTTTCTAATCATTGACCATAATTAAATATTTCGTTTGATGTATTCTTTGACCCTTAAGTACATTTGTACTGATTTACAATGTACTCTATATAGGCGCACTTGAGTATGATAACTTAAGTTTTGACTTCTATGAATATAAAAATGACTTTCTAAATTCAATTGACATTAATAAAAAATGTTGTTGATGTATTCTTTGACCTTTGACTTTGAGTACACTTGTACATGTTCACAATTTATTGTATCCTAGGCACTTGAGTCTGATAGCTGACTACATGACCCAGGATGGGCGCTATAGACCCTTTAATAGGGTTGGTATTGAGAGCAATCCTTCACCCTTTCAGCAGATGACCTTCGAGGTACAGTATACAGTATTCATAGAACTTCAGGTGTAGGGGGAGGGGAGAGACGGATAAATCCCCTCCCCCCCCCCACAAAAAGAAAAAACGCAAAACTAATAATTTATGAAAAGTTAACCTCTTTTCAGAGAAAAAATCTGCAAAACTAAGTTTTCAATGCTAAAATTTAAGTTACTAATTGATTTTTAATATACCATCAATGCTTATTTCTTATCCGCAATATATAGTAACTAGCCTTATAGGGCGCTTCGCGCCCATCTTCTAAATTAATTGTGAACATGTTCTCTTTGTGTACATCGTAAAACAAAACAAAAATAATTCGCGGATTTTCACAAAAAAATTCGTGGATTTTCAAAATTTTCAAAAATTTAATGAAGATCGGATTTTGATGGATACAAATATTTGAATTTTTGATCATTCATAAACCTTCCCTGTGGTCACGTGATGTCCCACAAAAAATTTGGGCCCGATCGGTTCAGCCGTTTTGACGTTTATTGGATACAAACAAACAAACAAACAAACAAACAGACAAACAGATAGACAAGCCAAATTTATATATAGATTAGCTAAAGTGCCCGGCGTTGCCTGTGGAACTGTTAAAAAAATGAAAAAAAAAAATTGAAAAAATTTAAGAAAAAAATTCAGAATTTGATGAGAAAAAAAAAATTTAGATGTTTTTAGCCTATGTTACCCCCGGGGTACTCAACTCACGGCTTCCCTAAAAAAAATTCAGCCCAATCGGTCCAGCCGTTTGGCCGGCTATATACCTGACATATATATAGAACTTTATTATAAAGAATAGTCAACGCGACTTTTTGAAAATATTTTTATCAGTTTTTTCTTTTTTTATCAATCTATCTTTATATTAATCTTTATCTCCCAATCTATTTATACAGGGTGTGATTGGTATTTGTTGACTTAATTGAAATCTCTAAACGTTTCCATATCTGTCTATGTATCTACTATCTATATTTTAATATATTTACCTATGTATAGACTGCTATGGGATTCCTACGAAGTTCTACCCTGGGAGCTAGATGTGATGAACTAAATTCTCCCTCTGCCTGTATAGTACTAGGCAAACCAACTAAAGGTTAGTATATCAATTCTCTCTACTAAACTAGCTCGTCATAATGTCTACTGCTATCTGATTCCATTCAGTTTTTTTCAATTTCCCAAGCGAAGAGGAGCTACGCCGTTTTATTTCTTTTTCAAAATCTTTCAAAATCTTCCAAAATCCACAATGAAACCGTGAGCTGTTCAGTGGCATGTTCAATTTAAACTTTACCCTTTAACAATCTGAACTTAAATGGAGAATATGTCCATGTTTTTCTATCTGAAAGCTAATAATTTTTAATTGCGGTTTATCTTCAAAAAATTACTGACTCATTGTCCTTATTGTCGCTCAGATTAAGGGTTTATAGAGTAACATTGTGAATCAGACATTCAATTCTTCAATTGAGTTAATCACTTGAAATTACGCTGACAGTCGCTGTATATTGACACCTCACCCCCCCCCCCCCCCGGGTACAATGTACACGTGACAAGACTCTTCAATTATCCTTTAATGTATTGTTTTTTTCTCAGGTGGAACCGGTTCTGTAAACTTGCGCTATGCACTTTGAAGTCCGCCATTTTGAGATTTTAAGATTCGTGGATTTCTCGCACATGAATTGCCATGAAAAAAAATTCATCTTGAATTAGTTTTTGAGCTGAAAAGGCTGTGAAAGTGGATTTTTTTTAAATATAATTTTTTTCTGTTTTTACTTTTTATTTAAGTAGAACGAGTTCCAGAAAAATTGGAAGTTAAAGAAATATTTTAAGGTCCTGAATTAAATTATACATTTACAGGTTGTAATACCTGAATGAATAGTTCAAAATTTAATAGAATTGTTTACAATCTGGTTAAAATAATTCAACAAATGAAAGTTAAATCAGTAGCGATCAAAAACTAATTCAATCCTGGACATTTGAAAGTAAATAGAACTTAACAAATAAAAGGGAAAGTGACATGAATTGCTGCTATTTCGATTTCACTTAATGTTTTCCACTTCAAATTAAATAAAATTGTTCTTTACCAAAACAGTTGGACCCATAATACTTTGGAATAGAAAATCAAATACAAGATGGGATTTTAATAGTCTAATGAACATATTACGATTAATGTCTAATTTTATATCAACAATTTGAATGAAAATAAGAATATTACAAAGTTTAGTAATTTTCCTTTTCAAGAGAAATGAAAAAACTGCCTGAACTTTAATGTTGCTTATTCCTAGAGAAAATGTTTGGTAAAAATCAAGTAGCTATCCAATATTTTTGATAAGTGAGACCCAAAAAATATGGGATAGAGATACGACATTTATGCAAGTTTTTATTTTATTTGATGCTGAGTTATAAAGCAAATAGTTTGACCAGTGACTTCAAATCGATTGTTGTGTTCTCCAATGATACAGGATGGTGTTAGGAATTTTCCCAAGGGCGACTCCCCAAAGGTTAGGTTAGATCCTCTGAGGCGCCGTATGCTACAATTGNCGGCTAGGGTATACTTTGGTAATTGCATATTTGAGAAGTGGCCATTTGGGAAACATCTTCAGGTTAGGACCCATGCAGCTGCGGAATAGGAAGACGACTTAAATTCGAGTAAAAAAATTAAATAGTCGACAACGAACATATAAACAGCAATTATTAAGTGGACACAGACCCCTTTCTTTTAATAAGTTGCTGGAAAAACTTGATAATTCGTGTCAACATCAATTATACATTACATTGCTTAAGTTTGGTTTCCCTATTCTCTAGGTTAACGAGCCTCACTGTATCAATAATGCTAATGGAAAAGTATTTAGTTAGACCTTCACCAATAAACAATATTAAAGTTTTAGAAAGATTAATTTAAGTTTAGATTAATTTCTAAATAGTTGAAGGGTGGTTGAAGCTTCTTAAACTTGAAAACTTGTCTAATTTAGTTTAAGATGAGTATTCACTGCTGATCGCCAGGAATTATCTAGTGTTATTTTTACTTTTGCCAACTTATTCTGAATTATTTTACGCCATATATCTGAAAAATTATCTTCAGTTTGAAAGAAGTGTTTGGAAAAACCCTTTTTAAATCTTGAAAATTTTGATTAAAAGTTAAGATTTTACAGGGACTGTTAAGGAAAAATTAAAGGGGGTACAGACTGAAACCTAAGAATTTTATGGGGTGATCAAGACCCATAAGAGTTCTATCTAATGATTCTGTCTCGAGAAATTGATATAAAACTGTCAAAATTATATGAAAATTTATATATATGAAATTCTTTATAACAACCGTAGGTTTAACCAGATCATATTCAGCAAATACGCAACCAATCTGAAAACAACTAACTCCCAGAGGAGCCCGAGAAACTTAGGTTTGCTATTATTTGAAATTAATATTTTTTCATTTTTAACAGATATTACAGAATTGAAAAGAAACTAGTAGTAAAAAGTCAAGATTGAGATGAATTACGAAGCATAGTTACACTAACTATATTTACGTTTTTAACGATACAAACGATTACTATTGGACCAACTAAAGTTGATCTCATTGACACGAATATATTTCCATTTGACACTTCAGAGCTGAAAACTTTAGAACGGGATATCCTTAATCCAGATCAGTTAATTAATCAGGAGATTAATAACAAGTGGACAACAATCATTATTTAATTTCGAGATCAAGAAAAGAGTGGATCAAGCATTAATCCCGATATCCACCATTCTAAAGTTCCCAGCTCTGATCAGATACTTCGTGAGAATTGGCTTCTCTTGGGGCATAAGATGAGAACCCTTGGGTTGGGTTCAAAATATAATTGATAATATTACTAATAATAATATAATTGATACGTCCGTATCACGTGACCAGAACTCGCACTAATGGCAGTGCAACATTCACTTGGCTCCATCTGTATCACGTGACCTTTATACTGCACTGCCATTGGTGGGAGTTCTGGTCATGAGAAGTTTAAGGATTGCATGCCATTGATTATAAAGCAATTTCTTAATTTCGTTTTCTCTTTTATTGAGTTATTTTATCAAATTAATCTTAAAAGTCAAATGATTGCATGAACATATTGCAGAGTCGGTCACCGAAGTTTTCAATGAGTACCTAGTCCCTTAAGTTTATCATAGTTGGAACTAGTAAAACATATTTTAGTTTCTATTCTCAAATTCAATTTAATGAAATTACCATTTACTTGCCAAGATTTCTGCATTAAATTCAATTCTAACAGATTTAATGAACAGGGAGGCATACATTGGCTGGCGTTTATATCAATATTATGAAGGGGACTATTTAAGTTTTGATTATAAACAAGCTGTTTTCCAATTTACAAGTTTACAAGTAAACAAAGAGAACCTGATCATTTGTTTCCCTGTTCATGTGCATCTATGCTGTTTATATCAATATTATGAAGGGGACTATTTAAGTTTTGATTATAAACAAGCTGTTTTCCAATTTACAAGTTTACAAGTAAACAAAGAGAAGCTGATCATTTGTTTCCCTGTTCATGTGCATCTATGCTGTTTGAAAGAGAAGCTGATCATTTGTTTCCCTGTTCATGTGCATCTATGCTGTTTGAAAGAGAAGCTGATCATTTGTTTCCCTGTTCATGTGCATCTATGCTGTTTGAAAGCTTGGTTGAAATCTAAAGTCGTCTTCATTGTATTGATATATAAGAAAAAGACTGTAGTTGAACAACGTAGACTGAGTTGCACCACTTTTCTTCACCTTAAACCAAGATGTGGTTATGCTTAGTTTACGCGGTTCAACTACCTCTTGCTATTCATTAAAATCTGGTTTATTTTAACTATTCCTTGCAAAAATTCAAAAACATTAAGAATGATATAAATACAACCCTATAAAAGCCATTATTATAGTTTTTCCTAAAATGTCGTATACGATTCATTAAATTTATTTACTTAGAACGATTTTTTATGTTTTTGTTATAATTTACAAACTTCTACATTTGGTTTCTATCAAAACAATGTTCAATGCTCCAACCCGAAAAAAATGACTAAATTATTGAAATAAAAACATTCGAATAGTTTTGAATTCTCCATTTTTTTAAGTTTTGCAATACAAAAACCAAAAATTATTTTTCATGTTAAAATATGAGCAAACAAATATGTTTAAAGATTTCCATTACAGAACTTTAGAATAACCTTTTTTATTTCATTTTTTTCATGTTTTGTGGGACACACTATCTAAAGATATGAATTTATAAATATTTTTGAATAACTAGGTTTTCAGGGCGCTTTGCAACCAATTTCTTTTTTAATTGTGAACCTGTTATTATTGTGTACATTTTAAATCAAAACAAAAAAAGTTCGCGGATTTCATAAAAAATGTCGTGGATTTTAAAAAATTTTAATGAAATTTTGTTGGAGGCAAATTTTTGAAATTTTTACCATCCAGAAACCTCCATGGATTCACGTGAGGTCCCACAAAAAACTTGGGCTCGATTGGTTCAGCCGTTTTGACGTTCATTGGATACAAGCAAAGTATATATATTTTTAGGGCGCTTCGCGCACATCTTGCATTTCAATTGTAAACATGTTTAATTAAAAAAATCGTGGATTTTCAAAATTAATAAAAATTTAACGAAAATCTAATTTTGTTAGAGACAAATTTTTGTAATTTTGATCTTTCATAAACCTTCCCTTAGGCCACGTGAGGTATCTCAAAAAATTTGGGCCGAATCGGTTCAGCCGTTTTGACGTATACGGGATACAAGTAAACAGACAGACAAGCAAAATATATATAGATTAAACAGTCGAACTATGGTGGAAGCTCTGGAGGTCTAGGTGTTTCTATAGCTTCCAAGGCTTTGTCTAAAACAAAACAATTATTCAATTTTGAGAAAGTATAATCTTAATTTTTAGTCGTTATTCCATGACCTCTTTATAATATTCGTTTAGAGACAAAAAAGTAAAAATGTATCCTTACAAAGTTAGTGGATTTAAAAAAAATTTTAAATATGATGCAGCGAGATTTTCCAAAATTGACAAGTTTTTTATTATTATTTTATTGTTTATTCCATGACCTCGCTTAATGTTTTTATACTGGGAAAAAAATCGTATGTTTTCATTTTAACTTCTATCAATTTAATCCTAAAAGAAGTGAATTTAAACCTTAAAAGAGAATTGGAAAAATATTTAATGTAAAGTCAACATGTCCGACTCACAACAGAACCCTTTAAACCATACATTGTCTAAAATGAATACCGAATTCAACCCAATATACTTATTAAAGGGACTGTAAAGGAAAAATGAAAGGGGGTATAGGATAAAACCACCTATACCTCCTTTCATCTCAGGTTCTAAACGATACCTATGAGACATCTATCTTATATTCCTGTCTCGAGAAATCGACATAAAACTGTGTCAAAATTATACCAAGTCACCAGTACTTCAGCCAATGGCAGTGCAGTATACTGGTCACGTGATTTCTGTTTGTTCAACCTTAAATCGATACTACACTGTCATTGGCCGAAGTTATTGTGACGTAATACGGACTATGTGTAATAATATAATATCTATTAAAAATGCAAAATGCAAAATAAAAAAATCATAATATGAGCAAATAAAATGAGATTCTCAGGCTTCTGTGGGATATAATCGTTTTCAGATTGGTTGCTTAATTGTTGAATATGATCTGTTTAATGCTACAACTTTTATACATAATCTGGCATATGTCCGTTTTGGTAAAATTTTGACACAGTTTTATGTCAATTTCTCGAGACAG